CATTTAACCCTCAGCCAACAAAATAAAATGTGATTATGATCACCCTAAACAACATGGTTCCAATTGTTTAAAAAAAATATAGAGAATTAACATTTTTATTTCATAATGTCATATTGAGAGGATGGAATTCATTGGTATTTAGGAATCTCACAATTTATAACCATTTACTGACAACGATTCGATTTTAGATCTGAAAAATCTGATTTGATTAGAGATGTATCCCAACTTGAATAGAGTACCTACATCTGGAATTTTTCAAACAATTTTGCGATCGGGTGAGATACTTTTAATTTATATCAGTTTTTATAATTAATTTTCCATATAAATTTTTTTTTAAAAAACAACACACAAAAGTTTATGGTTAAAATTTGCTGAAAAGGGAATTTTGCACATACTAGAATATAATTTATGTCAAATCGAATTTTTAGAATTTTTAATCGCCCTCAGTATATGATTAAAAATTGAGAGATTTTAGAAATCCCCGTGCATTCCCTATTTAACATAATATTTATTTAAAGTAATTTACTCGGAACTCTTAAGAATCGATTTTTACAGGGATTTAAACCCTGGTATTTTTTTTTGACTATAATTTATTTGAGTTATTTTTTAATATATTATGTTAAAAAGTTTTATAAAAATAGAAAATAGATTCATCGGACCCTGTTGGTAGACTAAAGATTGCAAAATATATTTATTTTTTTCTCCCGATTTCGGTATTTTTCAAAGTTTATAGGTCTTTTGATTATAAGCCATTTGAATTAAAGGTATTTAATATGTTAAAGTTGGACATGAAATGAAGTTATAGATCTATAAAAAAATTTTTATCCTATAAATAGGTTTAAAAGATTATAGAAATTCCGCTGGAAATATTATGACTGGGTATGTTTTATTAACTAAAAATATTATAATAGAATGAAAGGTAATAAAGCGTATAAATTTCATCACATTTTTCTTTCAAGAATTTAATTATTTTAAAAATATTGATATAATTTCAACACCATTTAAAATGTGTTAAAGTACTCAAAAATTAGTTTATTTAGTTTTGCTAAATAATTTTTATATTTTAACATTAAAATATTTTATATTTGTTTGATTTAAATTTTAATGAGGAAAAACTTATACACTTAATATTGAATTTTAATAAAACAGTTGTTTTACGGAACCGAGCGAAATGCTAAATAATATGGATTTTAAAAATATATTAATTAAAAATGTTACAATTCCTGTTCTCAATGAATGAAGAATTTTTTTTGCCATAATGAAAACGTAGAAACTACATGATACCTTCTTTCAACAAAAATTTATTTATAAAAAAAAAACTAAAAAAATTGAAAATTTGTGCAGATCAATATGAAGATAAACTCTTTTATTCCATATTCAATATAAATCTATATAACAAGAGCCCTGTACACTCTAAGCTATTGCCCCAAATTAACCCGGGTATGCCTCCTCCCAACCCCATTCTAATGTAAGTTAGATTTTAAAAGTGACTTAAAATCTACAAGATTAATTTATGATCAATTAAAATAATAATCTAAAAATAACTAAATTAAGAAAGTTTATAATATAATACATTCTTAAGCTATAAATTGGCTAAATTTATACAAATCATAATTATATCGAAAATATATTTTTTTACTTTAAAAATTTATGTGATTGGCAAAAAATGGCCATTTGTTGAAGTTCTAATATAGGACTAAAAAAATTATTTTAATATTTTTATTTCTTATTTTTTTAAATTTCACGAATTAATATTTGTTGGAAGTAGACACGCAAATGTAACTCCTGATAGCGGCGGGTTTAGAATATATATTATATATGCAATTTTATGTAATTTGTTAATATATATATTGTTATATAGGTGATAACAGTGGTGAAAGATAAAGGTGTAGATTTTAATTTATAATAATTTTATTCTAAAACTAAAATGATACTAAAAATATATGTAAAATAAGGTATATATATATATGTATTATAAAAAAAACAATTTAAACGAAATACATAGTCAAAGGCTATAATAAAAATTTAAGTTAAATAAAAGTCAATCGATAAACATTCCCCTTCTTCTGAAAAGCTTTCCCACAATCCATCTGAGCTGTCATAGCAAGCTTGTCGTCCAAATGATTTATCATTTTGATTGTCAAGTTGTTGCATATGTCGTCTCAAACGTTGGCTTTTAAATCGTAAGCTTCATAACTCAGTGGTTATCATTATCAATTTTTTAAAATTGTTATTATCATTATTATCATCAAATAGGATATTGGGATATATGAATAATCAGAGAATTGGTCCAATTTTGGATGTTATGTGTTATAGCATTCTCTCTTTCTTAATTGGTCCAGGTGTTTCCTTGTAATACCTTTTTCTGTATAGACTTGGAACATAGTGTCGCTTTCCTTCAAATTAATTGTTTTGTCCCACGTGTCATTCCCTTGTACTTTATACCAAACAAAATCTCCTGTGTTGAAGGTTCTATTTCGTGGTAAAGTAACATTTATTTTATTCTTCTTCTTCTCCAACGGTCTCAATAAGTCCCATTTCACTCTAATATCACAGTTGAACATCCTCTTAGACGGTGTAACTCCTGTAGTGTCATTACGCGTATTTCTGTAATTAAATAAAAATTTGTCAAGTGCAATGTCTAAGTCAATTTTTATATTCCTTTTCATATGTGTTTTGAACGTTCTTACCATGCGCTCTACCTGGCCATTATATTGCTGATGATAAGCAGATGTGAGCACATGTTTGATACCATAATCACTGCAAAATTTTTCAAAATCGCTACTTGTGAAGTTAGTGCCGTTATCGGTAACTATAGTTTCGGGTATTCCACATAACGAAATAGTTTTAAAAATTTCTTTTAAAGTAATATCGGCCGTAATATTTTTAACAGGAACAATGATTGGAAACTTACTGTAAGCATCGACTATTGTCAACCAATTTCTTGTGAAGAACGGACCCACATAGTCTATGTGTATCCTTTCAAATGGCTTGGTTGCCGAAATCTAAGGTTTTTGCTTTTTAGGATTATCGTGATATATGTTACAATCGTCGCAACTTTTCACTTCCATATCTATATCATTATTTACCAGACCACCACATGTGATCTTTGGCTAAGGATTTGATTCTTCCTGCTCCCAAGTGACCATCATGTAATGATTGTAGTACATTTTTTCTCATAGAAGACGGAATTATGATTTTGTTGCTTTTGTAAAGACAATCCTTAATTATACTTAATTCCAATTCAATGTTTTTATAGATATCATTCTTTATAGGCCTGTTGTTCTTAATATCATTTATGACTTGTTTTAATTCGATATCTTTCAAAGTTTCATCACGAATTTGATTGAAATTGATAGGTAAATCCCCATAGTCATTTATTATAATGATATTTTCAACAACTTCGTCATGGCATTCTTATGGCAATCTCGAGAGGCAGTTAGGAACAACATTGTATTTACCTGCTTTATACTTTATGTTGAAGTAGTAACCCCCCAAAGTGATATTCCGTTTTTGCAACCTTAAGGACATTTCCGTTTTTGCAACCTTAAGGACATGGTACTATTGTCCTTGAGTCCCTTGGTAAAAATGTGGAGTAGGTTTATGATCCGTGATGATAGTAAATTTAGTCCCAACCAAATATTCTTGAAATCTTTTAATTGCGAACATTATGGCAAGAGCCTCACGCTCAATATTGGTGTAATTTATTTCGGATTTTGTTAAGGTTCTAGACGCAAAAGCAATGGGTTTTTCTTTGCCATCTTTCTCTGTGTGAAATAGTACAGCCCCTAATCCAGATTTGGATGCATCAGTCGCAATCCTAATAGGTAATTCCGGATTAAAATACGTCAGTGCTGGCGGGAGACTAATCAACTTCTTTAAATCATTAAAACTTCTGGAATGTTTTAAGTTCCATTTTCATCTTTCTTTGTTGACCATTTTGTACAACGGATCAGCAATATCAGCGAAGTTATTATTTTCTATAATAACCAGCCATTCCAAGAAATGTTGACAATTCAGCAGCTGATTTTGGTTCTGGCATATTAATTATTGCTACAATTTTATCATGGTTAGCATGAATCCCCTTGTCATCTATATCGTGACCCAGGAACCTAACTTTATTTTTAAAAAATAAACTTTTGGCGAAGTTAGGTACTTACCCGTATGATAATATTCTCTCAAAGACCTTTTTGATGTTGTTTAAATGTGCTTCATCGTTATTTCCAGTTATTAATAAGTCATCAATATAAAATATGACATCTTTCATATCACCGAAAATCTGATCCATGATTTGTTGGAATATAGCAGATAAAGTTTTCAACCCAAAAGGAAGTCTGGTAAATTGGTAGTATCCCATATGTGTAGATATAGTCAAAAATTTTATGCTATTTTTGATCGGAACTTGTAAAAAAGCATTTTTGAAATCGATTTTGGTAAATTTTTTTCCTTCTGAAAGTTTAACTATAAGATCATTTATACGTGGAAGTGGGTATCTAAAGTCTTCGAGAGCTGGGTTTATAGTGTCTTTAAAATCTGTGCAAAGCCTGATGCTCCCATCATCTTTGTATACGGCGGTTATAGGACTCGCCCATCGCACATCATTTACAGGCTCAATAATTTTTTCGTGCATCCATCTTTTCAGTTCTTCGCCCACAAGATCAATCTTTGAATACGGTATACGTCTTGGTGGTATTATTTTAGGTTGGGCGTCACATCTTAAATGTAATTTGACATTTACTTTGTTAATTGGTTCGCTAGTCAATTTGGATTCACAATCTTTAATAATTTTATTGATTTCGTCTTCATAATTGGTGTCGACATTTCCTATGAATTTATTTAAATTTATTTTTAAAGGCATTGATCCAGATTCTTCCTAACAATGCGTTCTTTCTCGACTCTACAACTACTGCTAGTAAATATTTAGTGCATCATAACTTACTTTAACCTGAGTTGTCCTGATAATTTTAATCAAGTTTCCGTCGTAGGCTGTAAGCCGCAAACTAGATTTCTTCATTTCTCTTATATATTTTTTTAGCCATATCATGAAGTATGATGGTATATTTTGATCCAGTGTCAACCTGCATAGTAGTAGTAATATTATTTAATTTCAAAGTTGTCATAAAAGCACTGTCATCACCTTTGTCTGTATTTTCAGCCAGTTTGTTGACATTGAAATTATTCTCATTATTATCTTTGGCAGTGTCAACTTTATTTTCCCCAACTTCTTCAATGTTCATATTACAATTATTGATATCGTAGAAGTTTTGATTATCATACTGGATTTGTTTTCTTTGATTAAAATCCTTCCACCGATTACGATCGTCATATTCGATTTGTTTTCTTTGGTTATCATTATTATGCCACCTGTTGTTTCCTTCATAACTTGAATTGTTGTTATCGGTAATTATTATGATTTTGATCGTCACATTAAATCTGCCTCCTCTGATTATAATTAAACCAGGCGTTGTTCCTACAATAGTTGTTGTTATAAGATTGATGATTATTATTATGAAAGTTTCTGTTGCTATACCGATAATTGTAATTTTGATAGTTACTATTATTTGATCATTTCTATAGTTGTTATTATTATAATTGTTATTGTTTCTAACTTTACTAAAATTCCTATTCCTGTTGTCGTTAACATTACTAAAATTGTTATCATCATGATTTCTATTCCTACTGTCAAAATTTTGCCTCGAATAATAATTCGGTCTATTATAGTAACTATTAATCTCACTCCTATTAGAAATACTTTGGATATCTAAATTCTTATCATTATTTGTATTATTGTCATTATTTTTATTAAATTTTTTATCCCTACTAAAAACATAATTAACATTGTCACTTTCTGATTTAATGTTAACACTATCTAATTTTTTTCCTATTTCAATCATTTCGTCTAATGTGTAGTTAATATTTTTATTTAATTTATTTTTTATATTGTCATTTACACTACTTTTTCTCAATTTTTCTTTAATGCGATCATCATTAATAAAATTACATTGTCTACTTAATTTGGACAATCTAAAAAACCAATCCAAAAACGATTCATTATTACCTTGTGAAGCAAGGTTAAACTTCTCAGTCAATATCCAAACATCTTGACTGAATAATAAAAATTTTAATTTTTTAATAATAATTTTATAATCTTTGATATCTTCCTTAGTACATAATGACTTAATTTTATCGTATATGTCATCAGATAAATTGCTCATCAATGTTTCAATTTTTACTGAGGATAAAATTGTTTGAGAGAAATAATCGTCAAGTCTTTTCAAGTATATGTCCGTCAAGGGTCCCTCCAACTTTGGGAACTTAACTTCCCTGTTGGAGGATATGCTAATTTTATCATCCATAATGCAGATTTTTATTTTAAAAAACTTATTTAAATTAGCAAAGATACATATTGTCACTATTATGAATTCAATTTTGTTTTTTTTATCCAAATTGCAAATTTTTACTTTAAAACTTTATTTACATTAGCATAAAGAAATTTTTTTTTTACCTTGTGTGTTTTATATATCGAATAATTTTTATAATTTATTCATAATTCCAAAAAAAATTTTTTATTTTTTATATTTATCGGGATATGCACAATATAATGAGAATTTTTTATATATCATTGTGAGTTATCATTCAAAACGGGGCACCATGTTATATAGGTGATAACAGTGGTGAAAGATAACGGTGGAGATTTTAATTTATAATAATTTTATTCTAAAACTAAAATGATACTAAAAATATATGTAAAATAAGGTATATATATATATATATATATGTATTATAAAAAAAACAATTTAAACGAAATACATAGTTAAAGGCTATAATAACAATTTAAGTTAAATAAAAGTCAATAAAACAAACCCATTATATATTTAAGTATAATACTATTTTCAAATATAATTTATTATAAATTATTGTAAATATAATAGTAAATCAGGAATTATAAATTAGGCAGGAAAGATTACTAATTTAGATATAATTAATTTTAGGAATCTGAATGGTGGCTTAGAATGACTTAAATAGAATTCTTCTATTGAGTCATCTTTTTTGGGCAGAGCATCACAAACTCCTTAAACTAAAAAATCGAAGAAAAAAAAATAAAGGTTTTTTTAATTGAATTTTTTTTTGAATTTGCTCAAGCAAGATTTTTGATCAAATTTTGTTCAAAATTCCAAATCTTTTATTATATAAAAATCGTTGTAAATTTTTTGAACATTCATGATAAAATAATAAATTTTTTTAAAAAATATTCATTTTTTTTTATTTTCAAAGTTTTTACTAAAAATTTAGGCCTTAATGATCTTCAAATGTTCATTGAAGAATTTTCCAAATAAACTCGTGTTTTGGGAGAGGAAAGTTTACCGGATTTTATATAAAATGGAGGGAGTGGTAAGATAAAAAAATGTAATAATCAGGGAAATCAACTTGTTTGGTGCTGATGTTAGAGAAAAGGGGTATTCATAGAAAATTCCTACCCAAAAGACAACATCTTAAAAGCTTTCTTGCTGGGGAAGGTGCAAGAAGAGCGTTTTTGCAGTAAAACAGTAGAGGAAAACAGGTGTAGAGAAAAGTAACTTTACATCACAGGCTGATACGACAACAAGATTCCCTTCATTGTTTATATTACCAGTTTGGTTTCTAGAAATTCATGAGTAGACACCTCAAATGATTTTCATATTGCTTAGAATATAACTGTCCCGGTAACCATCAGGCTGTTCCATTTTTTTCTCTTAAGAGATATGGATAAGGCAATTACTTCATCGGAGCACTTTATCTATATTATCTCGATATGTTGGGCTTAACCGGATTGTCTTGGAAAGTTGGTGGAGTAAAAATTAAGTTTATTAATCAAAGCGATAAAGCTGAATAAGTGATTGGATGCCTAAGCTACCATTTTTTTGTTAAATGTGCTATACGTTCCGTGGCTCTCACATATGAGATCATCACATGTGTATTAGAAAATTTAGTGTACATTAGATGTTATTTTGACTATCATAGACTGCAACCCCTAAAAGGTAAAATGGATCCAAGATAGTTGTGCCAATGCCTTGAGTTAATGTTGAAACTAAGTTGAAGCAGAGGGGTTAGCTTTGTAGAATCTTTAAATAACAAGAAAATTCGAAGATGAAAGTTTGAATAAAATGTGATCTATGAAAATGGTTAGAAGTTATTGGTAGAGATTGTGAAGATAAAGCATTTTATATTTTTTAATAATAAAGAATATATTTTGATATTTGATAGTTGTCAATCACTTTCATTTGTTATGTAATGAAAATATTAAAATAAAGTGAGCTGTTTATTAGGTTAATGCAATAAGAATAACTAAATGTTTTTATATGGCGGAGAAAAGGCAAATATAAAATATTATCTAAATCATTTTTGTTCCATTGATAAGATGGTTAAGCTATTTAGAAATAGATCTTTTACTCATTACTTACTTAATGCACTTGGGTCAAAATCTTATAACAAATCAATATTCTATTCAGCGTCTACCAGGAAGGGGGGGGGGGGGGTAAGTACAGTTTGTTCCCAATTTTTTAAGAGATAGTAGACGCATATGGGAGTGGAGAGGCTAGGGGTAGGATAATAATATATTGCTATAAAATATTATTTAATACTTATATTATAGACCTACCAAATCCATATGTTGCATACAATCTTTTTCGTTATTTTTCAAATATAACTTATTTCTGGATAATTTTCTGCTAGATATTCTATCAGTATACTCATATTTAAGCGTAATAAAATGTTATAGTATGAGAGTTTTTTTAAAATATATTTAATTCATTGTTTCTAAAATATAACCCTTCAAACATTTACAATTTTGTGATAGTTTTATCTAAAATTTAATAATGCAAGGGTTAGTCTACTTCTTTATTGGTAGGGGCGGTGTGCAGCAGTACTAAGACGATATAAATTATTAAAATAATATAATATGTGGGCAATTGTGAATCTGAAACTTCTTTAGTATTTCTTATATTATAAATGACTCTACAAGTGTCGAAAGAGGGATAGCAGTAGAGCGTGTTTATGAGACTGATGCGAGTAACACCTTTAATAAAAAATAAATTAGTAGATATCTAGTTATTATTCTTGTAAAAGAATTTTTGGTATGCTTTTTGAAGGGGTTTTCAAGGGTATTGGAGTTTCTTAATGTTTTATGAATAAACTAATTATATTCAATTGTTATCATAATTATAGTAGTTTTATTAAAAAATAAAGTTCTTCCAGTTAAAACTATTAAAAAATTATAAAACTTTATGTGATTATGATATACTATATTTGTTATAGTCAAATCATGTAATCACTTAATATGATTATCTAAAATATTATAAGATAATTGTGTGAATTGATTTAAAATCTTTATAAAGAGGAGCTCAAAATATGCCATATTATAACTTATTTATGAGCTGAATAATGTATCGTTTAGCGATGTCACTCAAGCGATGAGTAATTCAAATCATGTTAAATTATTCAGTTACGATATCGTCTAGTGCTGATTTAGTCATCGTTTTAGTTATAACGCTTCGTGGTTATTATAAACGAGATGCAAGTTTGATCGTAGCACAATCCAGCAAATAATTTAAGATAAATTTTAATTAATATAATATTTTATTATGATTAATTTAGATGTACTAAAAGTAATTTTTTGTTTGATTTTCATTGACTTGGGTTCAGCGTCTACATGACAGGATTTTCACTGGATGCAAACCCCCTTCAAAAACCTTTGCCTACCCCCCTAAAAATTATCATTATTTTCACCTATTTATATATTATTGATTCTTTTCAAAGAATTTACAAAGGATAACTTAAATTAATCTATCTCTACTACCAACTATCGATATTTTGTGAATATAACGAATTTATATTTTAGATAATAAATTCAATTAAAACCTCCATTTTTACAATGAATTAATTATTATGGCATTATGAGCTTGCTAAAATATCTAAAAAACAACGTGTAAGATTGTTTGCAATATATAGATTTGGTCGATGAATTAATAATACTATAATAAAAGTATTAATTTTTACAGCAATAAATTTTATCATATTTCATCTCACAATTTAAAAGATAACCCCCCAAAAAATTTATCCTACTCCTATTAGAGCAGCTTACCCCCTACCCCCTCAAAAAAATCGGATGCAAACTGTTCCTATCCCTCCCGCTCATGTAGACGCTGCTTGGGTTTAAAAGAGGTTAATAGAATTAAAATATTCTCTAATGGTTTTCTACTAACTCTAATACTTGAAAGCATGCGCGTACGCAAGAATTTGGTGTGGGGGAGGGGGGGGATTAAAAATTTTTAAAATAAAATCATTGTTATTTAAAAATATCAAGCATAAATTTTTTTAGGACTAATAACTATTTCTAATACAGAATTTTAAATTAATGTGAATTATAAAAAATAAATATATAAACCGGCGGCATATAAAAAACTATAATATAAATGTGAATTATAAAATGTTAAGTAAATATAACCAGCATATAAATCAGAAATCACTATAAAATAAATGATCCAAAATAGAAATTTAAATTTGAGCCTTTAAAATTTATATATAAAGTATAAAAATTTAAATGTTGGAAATATAAATTATTACACAAGTTTCTTAGGAATAATTGTATTTTGTATGTAATAACTTAAAAAGTATTCATGAAAAAATATAATTAAAATATTAATTCGCACATAAAATAATTAAGAAGCATATTATAAATTTATATGTAAAATCCAATCTTCATTGAGATTGTGTTTATTGTTCAATTATCTCATCTGTGCTTGGCGTCAAATGCCTATGAATATTCAAAAGGGCCAAACCATTCAATATATTTTCAGAAGTTTAACTCCTTAGGTATGTTTTTATTCTTCTTAAAGAAGGGAATGTTCTCTCATTAGTTGCAGTACTAATGTGAAGTATTGTTAATACATATAATTTATTATACATTGGGAAAATAATCTTAAAAATGTTTGAAATGATACAAAGCATTCATAGCATTTTTTGGGACTATATCAACCATAGTTAATCTTTTATATAGTTGGCATTCAGCTAATAAGGCATCATAAGATACTTTAACATCTTCATGAAAAAAATCTGATAAATATTTTATTTTTTTTCTATAACTATCTGAAAAGGTTGGTAAGTCTTTTGTGGAAGTAATATCTGCAGACTGCTAAGTGCTGCCTGATGAATTAAAACCCGTTCTATTTGGGTTATAAATGTATCTAAGAGAGGGATAAAGACATTTATTTTATAATACTCTTCTACAGACCCTATATTAATGTTAGGACGATGAGCTTGCCTCGCTGCAAGTCAAGGGAGCAAATGTTAATCTCATATAGATCTGCTTATGACTCAAAAATAACATATAAAATATGAAATTCTTCAACAACATTAGCCCTAATTTCCCTGAGTTCTAATAAAATGCTCTCCGATATTAAATCAAGTCAATGTTATGTTTTTAAAAATACATAAAATAGTTTAATAATATATAAATGAGAAAAAAAGTAAGTATTGAAACCAATGATATGCTTGCTTCTGAGGATATATCTCCTTCAAGTGTGATTTTTCAGTAAGAGCATAATAATCAACTTTTCTAACTCTATAAAAGTTGTTTTGATCTCTTTGGACAAGCTTTTTGCAATGTCTTTCTCCTTGTTGGACAAGGAGTTTCAGAAATAATTCTGTTTACAGAATCTCCTAATGCTTGAAATTTTACAAGACCACGAAAATTACCTTCATTATAATTATTATTGAAATTCAAGCTTCCTGAATCCAAATGACCATGTAATTCTGGCTATGACGAAATTCGGAAACGTTGATAGTTGTAGTGATTAGCTATCAAATAAGAAGATAAATATCTAAATCAATCCTGATCATGTGGTTTTTCAAAGATGGAGTGATGGCTGGTGTTATGAATTTTATATATTAATTATTAAGATGTTGTTATCGGAATATATATGATTAATATTATTTGTATAAATGTTTATTTGATTGTAATAAGGAATTAAATGAATCCTAGTGATATATATTTATATGCTACAATAGTTAGCGCAATACCTCTTTATATAATCTTACTCAGGTAACAAATGTGGAATAAGATTGCCAGTTTGATTAGATTAAGAGATAACAAGATATTTGTGTAAGTTGCATATGCTAAGACTAGCTTCTATATAAATTCCGCACAGTATCTTTAAGAGCTGGGGGGGGGGGTGTAGCTGCAGTTGCCTCCAATTATTTTAAGGGGTAGAGGGTAAGCATTTAAGGGAGGCGGGAAAAATTTATTGTGGGTGATCTATTAAATTTTCAAAGGAAAAAGAGTAAAATATATTATTATGAAAATTAGTTAATACTTTTATGATGAACCGATTATAATACAAAAATATCGCTAACATCGACCAATTCTATACATTGCATACAATTGTTTTCAAATAAAAATATATCTGGATAATTTATTGCTATCTTTTTTAAATGTAATATAAAAGGGTTAGACATTCTATCGGCATACTCATATTCATGCCAATCAATTTACTTTAAAAATGCATTCATTTTTAATTTAATTTGTGTGAAAAAAATAACTCTTAAACACATTTTTTTTTATAGTTGGTAGTAGAGTAATTAATTTTAGTCTAAGATATATGAAAACATAGTTACTAGCAGAGTTGTACATTTGCTCAAAATAAAAAGATCTTCAAAGATCGATCGTAAAATTTGAAGATCTTTTAATTTTTAAAAATTTTGTGTAACGATCTTCAAAGATCTTCATGATATTTATTTTTTTACCCCTTTATTAAAAGCCCAGATGTTTTTCAATTTTATTAATATAATATTTCTTTTATGTTTTATACCTCTCCTCCTGCCTTGATGAAAATTGAAAAAAATCTGGGCTTTTAATAAAGGGGTAAAAAAATAAATATCATGAAGATTTTTGAAGATCGTTACACAAAATTTTTTAAAAATAAAAGATCTTCAAATTTTACGATCTTCAAAGATCTTGCTCAAATTTTTGAGCTAGATCTCGCTCAAAAATCTTCAAAGAAGATCTTTTGTACAACTCTGGTTACTAGTGTTGTTAAACGGCTCGATTTGAGTTGATTTTCAAAAAGGTTAGTTAGTTATTTTATTCAGAAAAATATTATGCAAGCCGAAAACTTTGCTCGAAGATGGTACAAGGATTTGGCCTGTTGAAATTACGTGGCTTAGGCTATAGTTTTTTGGCTAAAATATTGGGTTAGCCATTTTTAAAAATCGGCTCAAATCTAACCGTTTAACACTCTAGTAGTACCATTATAATTAAAAACATGTATTCATTAATGTGGGATTAGGAGGGTAGGTAAAGATTTATGATGAAAAGGGGGAGTAGGTGTAAATATCCTCTCATGTGGACGTTCTGCTTAATTTTGAAGGGGTTAGGGAATTAAAGAATTGGAGTAGAGGAAATTAAGGAAAATTTTAGGTATATTACCTCTACTTTCTCTCTCTCATACAGACATTGGTTAATGCTCAGCGGAGTTTGTAGATGATAGCACTTATATGAAGAAAATATATAAATAAAAGTGCATCAATTATTTTTAACTGGTAGCCCTCCCCCCTCAATAATAGATACCTTCCTCCTTTGAAAGCTAATCGTTAACCCCGCTCCCTCCCTCTGCATGAAGTCTCTCGGGTGACAAGGAGTCCTCTTGTATTCCTTTGTTTTCTTTTATATATATTGGATTATGTTTCTTTAGAAATAAAATAATATACGATTTTATAAAATATTACACGAATATCCCTTAATATACTAAAATTGAATTGATCTTTTAAGTCAAAATTTTTGTAAAACTATGTAAACTTTTTAACTTTAGAAACTTTCAATAAATTATAAAACCAAAATTTCCATATTAAAATTTTCAATTATGTTTAAATAACATTTTGAATGTAACGAAAATAACTTTATTGATTTTTATTTGGAAGTATTGTTAGGGCATTTTGTCTCTCTCTGTATGGGTGACTTTGCATTATACAGGAAAGTGGAGGGGGACTTGACTGACTCTTACCACAAACTATATAAGATATTTTTAAGTCCCCTTTTGAAGTCCTTTGGTCGGATTGCATTTTAAGTTTAATTATGGATATATCCATTCTTGAAAAAATTTTTCTCAAAATGTCAATTATAGTCATTATTTTAAAAATTTATTCACTTGTAATTCTTTTTTTGTGGATAATGATTTAATTCTTAAATATTAACTTTTAATGATCTTTATACCTACTGGAATAAAAATATAAAAATGATTTTTTTTTAAATAGCATGCTTTTATGAATTCCAATAGAACGGCACAGTGTGATATAATAATCATATTATATTGAATGTTATAAATATTCTATAAATAAATTCTATAATTGAAGATGAAAATGCACGATGAAAATTCCGGGCCTAAATTTACTGCCATGAAAAGGGGTGAACAAATTAAAAGATGGGAAGATTCAGACATTAACAAAGAGTCATCCCAAAGCCGGCAAGCAAATAAAATAAGGTTTTTAGATTCCACAATATTCTTAGCAGCTTGCTCAGCAGGAGATGTAGAAGAAGTTAAAAAATTACTTAAACGAGGAGTTGACATAAATACACCTAACATTGATGGCTTAACTGCTTTGCATCAGGTTTAAAATTTTTTTATTTAGATTTACTCTTAAAATATATAGCCTACTTAAATTATCTACATAATTATGTGAATCAAAGGTTTCCCTAAGGGTCAGTGGGGGTGGGGGGTTTCCCAAAGCTCAAAAATGCAGATTCACCTGAAGTAGAGGCATTATAATAAACTCAATTTTTCTTTGCATTAGAAGAATATATCCAAATTATTTAATTATACTAGTAAAGTGAATATTGATTTAGTTTACAAAAATACAAAATGTTAAGGGTAACTCATTAGCACTTGCACAAATGAATAAACATTTGTCTTTACGAAAAAAATATATCAGTACAACTTTATACATAGGAATATTACACCAAAAACCAAATACTGAAAAAAATAATATAAAATTGTCTTAAAATATTTCTTTGATTTCTAACATTTATATTTGAATTCTGTAACAGGCAGATTTTTAGCCTGGGCAAGTATAGGTGGGAAACATTGAGCAGGTTAGCTTGCATGTTATATTTAAAATAATAAGAAGTGGACTGGTGAATTTATATTTTTCTGACAAAGGAACAGAACGGATTTATATTTACTAATCATTATTTTTATCAAATATAAAAATATAATAATATTTTTAACTTTAAATAAAAATTCATTAAAATAAAAAAAAGAAAGAATTCCAACCAATAAAATAATTTTTACATTAGGTGGGTGGGTTAATTAAATTTTTTAGATTAAATGGTGGGCATGTAAATTTTAGAAAAAATAGCAGGCAGGCAATTAGGTTAAAATTTTAAAAATGATGGATGGTGGACATTTGTGTTAGACAGACCTTAAATCTATATATTAGAAATTAGGCCCTCTTTTTCCAATAAACAATTTTTATAAATTTATATAAATTTTAAATGCTCATCAGCACTCAATTATTTTATAGTGATTGATATAGTTACATAAATTAACTTCACTTTTAGCTAATACGTAAAAATAAAAATTTGAAATAAAAATTTTTACACAAAAATTTTAGATGTTCAATAATGATTCCAAAATGAAATTTTATATTTTCCCCACATAATTGCTAAATTTTTTATTATAAATTATTTTATATATTGCCTTAGTCGTGAAATTATTTTTTCCTAATAATAATAAACACCTCCTATCATTCATATTGGTTAAAATTAAAGGTGATATATTTCAATTGTATTTCTGTAAATATTTATTATAAGATAAATTTTGATGCAATTTTATAAATATTAATAGCCTTTTGCAAAAATATTAATATAATTAAAATAATTATCATTTAATTATTTTATAAATTATGTGATCAGAATTAGTGATCTACATTGTGCCTAATTTTTCAGCCCAGCTTAGCCTGAAATTTTTTTTAAAAAAATTTATACTGCCTAGACCGATCCCAAAGAAATTTTTTTTTATTCCCTAAAAGCCCAAAAATTTAATTATTTTATTGTAAAAAATATTAGCACCTTGTTTCTTGCAAGAGTTTTAAAATATATCAATTTATTTTAAAAAATCCCTGGCTCTAATTTTTTTTTAAAAAAAGATTTAGGCCCAATCCTGCCCAAACCAAAATTATTATTTTAAAATAGACTCAGACCAGGCATGGGCTAAGCCTTGATTCACAGATCTTTAGTCAGAATACATAAAATTTATAAATGGGAAATAAATTGAAAATAATGATATAATCAAGTAATCAATTTTTAAATATTATTATGAATAAAAATCATGATTTTTGCTAACCCTATCAATTTTATAAGTTTTTTTTGTAATATTAAAAATTATCCTTCCCCAAAGCAAATTCATGGCAAACACACTTACAGGAGAGACCTTTTGGATGCCCCCCCCCCATCCAATCATAAATTATATTTGACAACAAGCTGGCTTTTTGCAGGCCTTTGATTGGGTTACCATTTTTTAAAAATAATTTTAGTTTTAGACTTTTTTTTCAAAGTTACTTTTTAAAAATTTTGCTTATAATATACTACACTGGCAGGGTTTCTAGGTAAAACTTATTCGAATATGATAGATCTTCATATAGTAATTACGGATTTATTTTAATATTAATTATCATTTTGAAATTTATACAAATTAGTTAATATGTTATAGCTGTTAACCCATCCTTTTGCTGGTCATCAGATAACGAAATATAAGAGATAGAGGATTCAATAGAAAGAGAGGGAGATGAATTTCTTGATTTTAAAATATATTTCATTTATATAAAAATTTTCCGAAAAAATATGATAGAAATGGTAATTAAGTTGAGTGTGGTAAATTTCAAATTTTTTAAGATTGTTATATTCCACTAGCTAATGGTAGACCTGGCAATCCTGATGCTTAATAGGCATATCCAGGATATTGTTAAGGGAGGGGAAGACTATCATACTTGTTTTCTCCATAATTTTGTAGGTCTTTAGGTCCACTTACCAGACTTTTGGATATATTTTACATTTTAAAAAATAATTTTGGATTTTTACTTTTTTTTTATTATAATAAAAATGCTTATTTTCATGATAATTTTGATATAATAGTTATTATTTAAAAAATTTTTTTAACTTTTACTTATTTTATTATCAAATTATTGTTTATATAATGATATATTGTATTCATTTTTTTTCTTAACTTTAGTGCTGGGGAAGGGGATGTAGAGGGAGTTTCTTATTAGGCGAAATCGATATTTTATTATAACAAATTTTCGAAGGGGGTGGCGTCATCACGTCTCTTTTCTCTTTTGACATATTGTATTCCTTCTCTGCGAGAGGATGTGTGGAATAAAGGTGAATATTTTTTTATATCTTAAAATGATAATTATATAAATTTGCCAAGGGGCAGAAATTTCTGGCCCCTCATGATTATGCCTATATTAGACGATTTGGAGAATTTATAAATTATTTTACTATAACTTACATTATCATTCTTGATTAAATCTAATTAGTTTATATAAATATTTAACCATATAGATATAACAAACATATATATATATATTTGTTAAATCAATCATTTAAAATGTTATATAGCTTTGGAAAGTCCAAGATCTTTTGCCAATATTATTATAATTGCTTTATTGAACTAAATTGATTTTTTAAAAAATATATTTTGCCAATATTTCTAAATATATTTTCTATAAAACCAATATGTATAATTTAAAACATCTTGATTAATTTTAAATTAATTTAATGTCAAGACTTTTAATTAATAACTATAAAAATTTAATTGAATCATAGTTAATATATAAAAAAAAATATATCAATTTTACTGATACAAAACAGATATGTAAAATATTTCTTTCTTTTTTTTATCAAAAATTATATATTTTTATGTTTTAAAAAACATATTCCTTTTATTTTTAAATCTCTATTATATAATAAACTCAACATATGATATTTATTTTTTCTTTTTTTTATGATTTAATATTAATTTATTCAAATTTTATAAATCATAATATTTTTTAAATAATAGGAAAAGAAATAATAGCAATAATATCTTCTAAACTTAATTAGTTTTATTTTTACTTTTTTTAAAATTACTTTTTCATCTCTATCTCTATATCTCACTCTTATTTATGATTTCTTTTTCATTAGTTATATATATATATGTAATAATATCTTTGATATAAGGTCACATTTATCACTTAACCTATTTTTATAATATTTTTATAATATTTTTATAATAAATATATTAGAAATAATTTATATTTTTTTCTTATCATTTATATATTGTTTTTAATCACTTATTTTAATATATAAATATTTCTCAACAAGATTTTTGATTTATTTTATTTTATGCACAATAAATAGTTAACACATTGTTTATTAAATTTATATGAATCTTTTTTTTTCGTAAAATTTAAGAGTTTTTATAATGAGACTTTAATTATTCAAATTTGACATGCTATGTATTAGAAGGATGCGCCTATTGTTGTTAAACGGCTAAATTAAAAAAATTACGGGTAGGCCAATATTTTAGCCAAAAATATTATATAAGCCTTGAGATTTCGCTAATAGATGTCAAAACCTTTCTGCCTTCTATGAGCAAATTATCCAGGCTACCGGATTTTTTTTGGCTAAAATATTGATATACTATTTTTTTTATAAATCGAACCGTTTGATAAACAGATACTTTGTCTAATATCTCTACCTACTCATTTAAAACCAGAATCATATTTTGCAAAAGATGCCGGTTTTCTAAATATTTTTTTAAAAAGGGTTCTGTAGATTTTTTTTCCCTGTTCCTACAGTTTCGATTCTAAACTCATTAATATAACTATTTTTATAAAAAAAATTCCACTAGATTACCTTATTACAGAAATTGATTTGACTTAATTTTAATTTTAAGTTTATTTTTCTTTTTACCTATCGTCTCCTAAGAATTAGGTTATTCCATATCCACTTTTTGTTTTTACATAAATCGATATTTTATAATTATACTATTCTATCTACATAAAAAAGCAGAAATCTCTACAAAATTATAGCCAGTATGAGGCTTTACCATCATATTGAGAATAATAGGTAACCTATTTTTTTTTAATTACTCTCCTGGTAAATTACAAAGAGTGGAGATGGAATAATCTAATTGTCAGGCAGCGACATATATATATATATTTATATTACAATAATAAATTATAGCGGCATCATCATCCGGTGATATAGGTAAAAATGTAAAGTATTAAATAATTGACCTTGTTAGTTGTGCTTATTTTTTTTGTAGAATATATATAAAGAAAGTCTCTTGTAATGCATTATTTAAAATATAATCGTTAAAATAGAGAATTTGAAAGAAGCTGGGATTAAGATATAATTAATTTGCTAAAACTTTTTATAACTTGGAAAGGGAAGGGGGATCACCCATTACAATCAGCTGATTCATGAGCTCCTCCAAGGCTAAATATATTTTTAATATAGATTCGAAATAATGTTATTATCTTGCTAGTTACATTTTCGCAAAAAAAGAATTGTTGAGAAAGTAACTACCTTCATTTTAAATATTTATATGTAGGGGAGACCGGGGTAA